AGCTGGTTGGGGAAATATTTGTTGGAGAAATGATGAAAAAAACTCTGGTTACGGAAAAACGTTCCGAGGAATGTTGATACCAGGCAAAAGTTTTCAAGATGTGTTATTTGCCATGGGAAAATTTATTGTGCAAGCGAAACTCACGGAATCCATAAACTTGTTTGGTTTTAATTTGGCTCAAGGTCTAACCTTGATAAACCGCATGGATTAGTTTCTATAATATATCTTTAAACTTTGGTCTGAAATTGTTCATGGTTTTCGCAGTTTCAGTGGTTTTGATGTTTGAATAGTTTGATATTGGAATCTGTGCACAGTTTCTTGTTCCTCCAACGAGCTATACCTTTCCATAATTAACAAGAAGTATTTTTCACACGAAATGAAAGGTAGTCTCATTTCCAACCCAGTATCACAATTTTAAAAAAAAAACATTTTTGAGGTGATTTTTTTTTGCATGAAGTTGTATAGCCTTTAAAAAAGGGCTAATTTGATCAAATATGCCAAAAAACTGATGCGCGTGTAATTTCCATTGTTTTTTTTCTGTAGGCAGCGAAATAATCTTTCTCAGAATTCAAAACATATGAAATACTTTTTGAAATTAAAAAACTTGTGATAGGGAGGATATACAGGTAATACTTTTTTATTTTTAATTCCAAATTGATCAAAAACATGGCATGCAGACTAATAGCCAACCCAGTCTTACAATTTAAAAAAAAGTTTTTGAGGTGATTTTTTTGCATGAAGTTGCATAGCCTTTAAAAAAGTGCTACTTTGATCAAATATGCCAAAAAATTGATGCGCGTGTAATTTCCATTGTTTTATTCTTCTGTGGGCAGAGAAATAATCTTTCTCAGAATTCAAAACATATGAAATATATATTTAAAAAAAAATACATGTAATAGGGGGAGATATACATGTAATACTTTTATTTTTAATTCCAAATTGATCAAAAAAATGGCATGCAGACTAATTAGACAACTTCAACCAAATTTGGGCTGACTGTCTAACCTTTTTATATTTCTTGATACATCTTGATATGGAAGCTTTTGTGAAATCGGGGAAAAACAAGCATGAAAGAAAAACTAAGTGAGACACATTAAAGGAGATCAAAATATTCAAGGCTTCGCCCTGATACGAGCAGCCGTGTAATATTTTTTGAGTTAGTAAGTGTTCGTAAGAGTAGTAAAAAGCCAAGTAGTTCAATGGCTTATGACAGATGATGAAGACGGCAATTTTTTATATATATGAAATATGCTAGCGTTGTCTCGTATCAACTATTTTATTTCTGAGCTAATCTAAAAAAAAAGAACTATTCATGTCATTTTTGTGTCATCAATTATAATTTTGTTAGCTTTTAGCAAATCTAAGTTTTTTACAGAGATCAAACGAAGGAAACATACGTCAGATTAAAAAACGTCATGATAGACTCACTGCCTGCCCATAAAAGGAAGCGCAAACAATAAAGAAATGAATAATTACTAACACGAGTAGAAAAGTTTTAAAAATACCTAGCTTCTATTTTTGATTGATTAGAGAAAATTCAATGGTAATAAATTATTGAAATAAGCTGACGCAATGATTTCCGTTTTTTAAAGTTGAGATTAAAATACAAGAGTTCACTGTAATGAGAAAAAACGAAACAAGTTAACGTTTAGGCCAGAATTTCTTAAAATCTTTTTATTAAAAATAGAATTTAGTTGTTCTCATTTCAAGTAAGGAGGTCAGTGAAAACTTTTTTGTTCTGATCATAAATTCTGAGGGTGCTTTTTGGAATGGCAAGTATGAATCGGCAAGGGTCAATCAGACAAGGATCTTTGTGCTCGGGTGATCTGTTTACTATGGAACGAAACGCCGTACGGAGTTTTCTATCATGTCGAAACATTTCGATTGTGATTCGAGTACAAGGAAAAAAAATATCGCAAAAGTGTCAAATAAAACAGATTTGAGCCTTTTGCATTTCTAATTACTCCATTTCACTTTTGAAGCTTTCGCAAATAAAATTTACAAAAAATTATTTGCTGAAATTCAAACCGTTATTATTATTTTTTAATTTTCCTTGTCAACTGGTCCACACTAATAAAAATCTCTTCGGCTCCTAAACATCATCCGCCTACTTCTATGTTAGTCGGGTAATTTTCATACTATGTCTTGGGGTCTTTGGGGCAGAACAGTTTTCCGTAGTTTTTTGGACTGATCTCTGTGTGAGATAAGGTGGTAAAACAAACTCATGTTGCAGCGAGGGCTCATTCGCTTATTGGTTTTCATGGGTAGGGGCATACTTGATCTGATGGTTTATCGAACCAAAAATTAGCCAACGGTATGAAAACATCGAAAATTGAAGTTTTGATCCTAACACTGAAAGTGGGGGAAAATATTTGTCTTCGTGTGGGTTTTTATTGATATATGATTTGAAAGCTCTTTGAGTAGTGCTTTGTACGATCGTACAAAAATTCCAAAAAATTTTCACAGTGTCGAGAAAAACTACACACGTGTCAAAACGCACGTGTCAAAACATTACACATCCAAAAAAACACATCCAAATTTTCCAAAAAAGCAGTGAATTATCATCGCAACATATCGAACTACATCAATTAAAACAGTTTTCAAAAAGACAATGTTATTTACTTTAGCAAGCAGATCCAGTCATTCAGCTAAGTAATTTTTTAAGTTTTGGATATGACTTCAAATGTCTCATGTAGACATGTATGATTGTTAATCAACGTTGCGCACACCATTAAAAGAGCTGTCAACCTCCCTCTCTCTCAGCTCCTGTGATATACTTTGGATTAGGTACGGTTACTGTCCCCCAAAACCCTTCACTGTCGCCTATTAGTTCTTTTGTCCCTCAAATACTAACTCACGATGCTTTTAGAGAATTAGACTGGGACATTATGGCGCCCAAGTTTCCCGAGCCAACACCTTTTATCAGCCTTTCCTTGTTTAGATGCGTTTCTTATTGTTGTTGATGCATCCTTTTAAACAAAAAATTTGTCAATTTTGTTATGTTCCTCATCGGTTTTTTTAATTACTCCCATTTTTTAATACGTCAATTTACTTGAAACTTTTTCTGCTTTAAACTGTCAATTTAGCCTAAAGCATGCCTGACAAACGTAGAAAGAAAACGAATGCACCTAAAACTACTGTACAAAACACGAGAAACAACGCTTTGGATTGCACTAACGAAAACAAATTGCTAGTAATTGAACACGAAACAGCCTCATTATGATCTACATTATTCGAATTTGATGCAAGCCATGATACCATCGAAGTAATTACCAGTTATATAAACAATTTTGACGCGACAATTTATTCCATGAAGACGAGACTCTTACGCTCATGAACGCTGGAACCTATGAAACAAAACAGATCTTACTAGCTCGTCTAAAAACTCAGATGATTAAAAACAGAAAGGCGCAGATAGAATACAAAAGAAACGACAAGTCTTTTCAAGTAACCTTTTCAACTTCCTCGCTTTCGTCTGGACTGAACAGCAATGTGTCTACGACCGCTACAATTCGCAACGCCTCAAACACTGAACCGACATGTCAAGCCGCTGCAACAACATTTACAGTGAACCAAGAGAACAGCATCAACGCCGAATAAATCCATAGCAAGCAGTGCACACAACAGCAAGTGTAACATTTTCCCAGAGCATGAATGCCAACCTCACCCGCAGTCAACACAAAGACTGCATCATTGACCAAATTTTACGATGAGCCACTTCATGTCCCCCAGCATGCCGGATATCACTTTTCGCCTTCCCCACAGCTCGCTAATAATAACTCAAGACCACGGCAGCTAGTTTCAGGATACCGCATCAATAGCGCAACCCAATGTCGACATGTCAGAAAGTTTGACTCGTCATTCGCGCACCCCAAAAGCTCAACTTCACTGAACTCAGCACGATCTCAACTTCGGAAATCACCTCCAATTTGACAGGAGACAGACGGAAGCACGACCTCAACATCGGAACTCATATCCAATTTGACAATAGACAGACAAATTGGTCAAATTGGCTTTCCAGCGAATAAACCGACCGGCTTAAAAATAGGCTTATGATAGTTCAATTCAATTTATTTTATTCAGTTTAATTCAATTTAAATCTTAAAGATTCAGCCTCACTCAAGTAAAATCAGTTTTCAGCATTTCCTTTAATGCCTTCTTGAAAATTTATTTAAGAAATCAAAGCAGTTTTCTTCATATTTGTTAAAATTTTTTCGCGGAAAATTGTTCTCCAATATATCTCTTTTATTATTAGTATAAGATATGTCTAAGCTCTAAGCTTTCTTTCGTTTCGTCTCATCGAACCAAGAATAAAAATAACATCATTTGGAGAAAAAAAACTTTGTTTAGTCTCTTATTATTGTGATCGGAGCTTTCTATGATTTTTGCACAGTAACTGTCAATCCTTGCTTTAATTTCAATTTTAATGGTTTCATAACTGTCATAAAAGTTAATCCAATTATTATGTAACTGCTCATTGATTTTGATTGTTAAAAGGTAGGCGGTTTATACTTCGAATAATTATTGGTTTGTTTTTTTTTCGATTGTTTTTTTTTCACACTCCGAATACACATTTGGATTGCCGATATAACTTATTCGATATAACTAAAGAAATAAAGATCCAAAAGCCCACTTTACAATTTAACTCAGCAACAAAACTGTTTGCGAAAAAAACTCGAGTCTGATTCGTTGATAACAACAACTCAAAAATTCGTTCACACCTTCTCTTCTACTTCTTTGGAGGAGCTACCCTAGTTGACGACGATGGACTATTTTGCACATTCTTGCAAGATTCTTACAAGATAGCCCATCCTCGTCAACTACGGTACACAATGATCTTACGGTAATATTAAAATGATCTTAAGGTTAAAACACGGTATTAAATTAAGTTAAAACATTTCATCCACGCGGGAAGAAAGAAATGCAGCTATTTACGGAGAACAATAGTTTCGCCTGGTTAAAAACTACATTTCTCACTCATTTCACTGGGCTGCGCTTACCCATTTTGTCATCCTGAAGAACGCAACTGCCTCCATTGAAGCAGGGTTGAGCATGACAGGGATCAAACTTCTCACAATTGGTGCCGTGGTATCCGTGATCACACTCACACCTGTAGCTGTTATCACCTGTGGGCGTGCACTCACTTGAATGTTTGCACGGTCTAATCACTTCGCACGCATTGAAGTTCTCACAGTGTGCACCGTAATAGTCGTCGTCACAGATGCACATGTTGTCTTTGCATGTTCCATGGCCGGTGCAGAAAGTGACGTTCTTGCACTGGTTAATGTTCTCACAGTTCTGACCGTCAAACGTACCCGGACATTTGCACCTATGAGTCATTTTGATCACAACTTCAGTTTTTTTTGTATTGTTTTTTAGGTCAGCCGTTTTGAAGTTTTTGAGCTCTACCGAAACTTATGGGTAAAAAATCTTTTTGAGCAATTTTTAGAATTGCTTGACAAAAATTTTTGTTTTTGGTGCCCTCTTTCTTCAAAATTGTTATAATGGCGGCAAAATTTTTTTGTTTTGGTCATGCCAAAAAATAGTACCAAATTGAAGCCTTTGGGAGTAAAACTGGCAACCAGAATTGAGGGATGTAGAACCATTCTTCTGTCTCTGGTTAAGCATTACTTGATTTTATTTTCAAATAAAATTTTTGTGCCAGTAAATTTTTTATGAAAGTTGCTTCATACTCGTGAGCGACAATCACGAATCATGATGAGTCTCGAACCACAGACCTTTCGATTGAAAGGCGGAGACTTCGCAACTTCACCACCACAGCCATGTCTTACAGAAAATCATCATCAGGTACAAAGTAAAAGAAGCAAAATGACTGTTACCTGTAGCCTAGTGCACTGTTGGTGTCGTTGAAGCACTGCCCTGAGTTCCTGCACGGTTTGTGGATGCACTCATTGCTGTATTGACACCTGTTGCCCCAATTACCTGACTGCGCCTCACACTCGCACTCGAAACTCCCGTTGCCTGCAAACAGGTTGAGATCATTCATCACCAAGGTAAAAGACCAGTATACAAGCCGCACAAATCCTTACGGAAAAGCGCAGTGGTGCCCCGAACTAAGAATTACAAGAAACTTTTTTGATTGTTTCTTCTTTGCCCTGTGGCGTCAATAATAGCGCGCAACATGAACACATAATCGCGGGCTTAGATCAAAAAAGAGAAAAAAAATCAACCAAAACGAACTCTTCAAAACAGGGGTTTATATATGTTTGTCTTTGGGAGAAATTTACAAAACTTTTGGAAGTTTTTAGAAAAACCTTACTTTTCCAATGGTTTCTGCGCTACAAGTAAACTTTTGAAAACTTTGGTCATTTTTGTGTTCAGTTTTGACCAAAAAAGTTCCGTTTTTTTTCTACTCAAAATTAGCGTTTAATGCAAATTTCGAAAGTTTTATGATTTAACACGCAAAATTGGCTGTTGTTAATTACTATCAAATAGGAGACTTTTGGATGCGGTCTTGGGTTCAAATCCCTGAGGAAAAGATGGCGCCTGTTTTTCCTAATTTCGTCCTGGTTCTTTCATAGAATTTCTGAGTGTGTTCAGAAAGCATCATCTTCTCAAAAATTTGACCCTCACATTTGGCAAAGCAAACAAAATGACCCTTCTGCGTGGTCATGGAACCAAATTTCTCACATTCTTTTGAACTTTAATTACTTGCGGAGGTTTTCTAGTAGATGGTTGAATCAATGTTGATTTAACAGAAGACGATTCTACCTTGGTGTTCTTGGAATGCAAATTTTGCAAAAAAATTTTTAAAAAATCTTGAAAAAAATTCTTTGTTCTTGCTTTTTTCTTGCAAGATTTTTGCAAGAATTGCATTTAGTTTTGAAGTTTTTTGCGAGATTTGCAGTCCATTTGCAAGAATTAAGCAAGATTTTGCATAATAGTACAATCGGTGTTTTTTTTGCTATTTTGGTAAATTTTCTGGTTTTTTTTTCATCTTCTGCAAGTCTCTAGCGTATAGCTAGCAAAATCTAACAGCGAGGATTGCTGGTTAAAATTTAACCTAAGGCGAAACAAAAAACAAATGCAAGCGAAAGTCCCTAAAAGTATATGCAACAATTTTTAAAAACAATTTTCAAAATAGTTAATTTGGAGTTAAAGTTTAAAAAACATTGGTTTAAGTAATCAGAAAGTTTTCTACCGCTAAATAATCCTAATTTGAAAAATTATTATGATCAAACAAGGCAAAAAAATGAGTATTTAAAGTTTTTTGGAAATACATTAAGTTTAAATCGTCAGTGAACGTTTTATTTTCTAGAGAAAGCAAAATTTGCCAGCAACTTGCAAAATACTAGCTGGATTTGCATTACGATTTAAGAGTACAAATTTTGAAAGATTTGAATTTCTTTTCAAAAATCTTGCAAGACTTGCACTCAAAGTAAACTAGGCTAGCTGTTGTGTTTTCATTCAAATGGCTATTTGAGTAAATAAAAAAATTTTGTTAGTGACTGTTTGACCAAACTGGGTACTTACTTGAAGCATGATTATTTATTGTTCCGACTTTCGATACGAAAGTAACGGAATATTTGTGCTTGGTGTGCGTTTTTTTTTCTTCAGACAATTTCGACTTTTAATGGAATTTTTATACATCATTCGAAATCTATTGTTGTCCTAAGCTTAAATTTGAAATGATATTTTACCAGTGATCATTTTTCGTAAAGTTATGGGGATGTAAATATTGCCATTTTGGCCAATTTGGGACAATTAACGCGCAATATATTTCACGCTATTATTGCGCAAGTGGATATGTAATTTGTCTTAGAAACCTTTCCCCATTGGTTGAATGAAGTTTATTTGCCAAAATTGATTTGTTACATGGAGCGAAATCTGTTTTTTCGTACTTTATATGGCGTGTGGGGGGATGGTTTTCATAAAAATTGTGGGAGGATGATTTTTCAGTCTTGTTAGTTTTGTTTGTTTTTGATCCGACTTTCGACGAAAACGGAATATTTATGCTGAAAATATATCCTTTTGTTCTTTATATGGCATGTGGGGGATAATTTTCATAAAAATTTTCAAATTTTAGAAGAAAAAAAATTTTCATTTTATTTTATTACACTAATTTTTTTTGTTATTTATTACTGCTTCGCCCTGATACGAGCAGTCTTGCTTGAATTTTGATTGAGGTAATAGCAGTATGTCATGCTTCAATTTCTGTAAATTATGTCTCAATTGAAGCTCTAAATCCTGAATTTCATCGTTAGTTTATTTAAAATTTTTCGTTTTTTAATTTGCTTTTTGTGTTTTCACTTTCATAAAGTACAAATCTGGTCTAAGAAAATTGTATTTCATAGAAGTTATCTGGCTAAATCCAACTGTTTTCCAAACGATAATGAAAACTTTCAGGGGCATTTTCGAAGAAAAAAAATTCGATTAAGCAGGATGGTTCATAAATTTTCAAAAACTAAAATTTTTTATGAAACTATATTGAAACGATTTCATTTTCTTAAGGAAGCCAATAAATAGTCAATAAATGACTGGAAGAAACTATATTTTTATGGCGTAGGGTGAGTGTTTTCCTCCCAATTTTAAAATCATAACGGACGTTAGTCTTGTATCCTTCTAAAAAACTACTCAGCGCAAATCTAATTTGATTTTTTTTAATTATAGCAAATATTGTTGCCTTTGCTAAACAATAATCTCAAATTAGAAATAAATGTTTTTCTTTAAGCACTAATTAATTTTTTAATACGTGTTTCATTAAAACTTATTAGCGCAGACTACCGTTTTTGCCCAGTTATTGTCCCAGTAATTTTGAACTATCATTTTGTTTGAAGCGTTGATGAACCTTTGGCTATCTAATTCCTGAAATTTCATTGGAGCCATTTACTCGTAACCAGTCATTTTCGCCCCTAAACACTTTCACCGCCTAAAACCCAGTCGTTTCCGCCCCAGTCATTTTCACCCCAGTAATTTTCGCCCCAGTAATTATTGCCTCAAAACTATTCCCTTTCTTTCGCTTTGATATACATTATCAATCATACGGGATTTTTTTTTACCATTGTCCCTATCATTCGCTTTGATATACATTATCAAACATAAGGGTTGTTTTACAATTTTCTCTTTTATTCGCTTTGACATTCATGAACAAACAAACGGAATATTTAATTCGAAGCGACTTATGATTAATTAAAGTTGAATGGTTTTAATTAGGTTTAATTTTGTGCATAGTCATTGGGGTGGAACTGACTGCGTTTGCGGCTGGAATGACAGAAGTGGAAATGACTGGGATTTTGGGGCGGAAATGACTGGGAGCGCCAGTTACTGTCTTGGGGGGCGTAGCAATTAGCATGTCTGCCTATTAGCATGCGTTACTTGCTTTAACTGGGTTTGCTTTCAGATGAAAAACAAATTAGCCTAAAATTACAAATGTTTTCAAAAACCGTTGACAAGGTAGACTAGTTAAAATTTCACTTTCGCCTTATTAAAGTTTTGGCTAATTACATTTGAAAGCAATTACATTCAAAAAAGCAAATTTGAAAGAAAAAAAATGTAAAATAGCGAATTTACAAGTTACACTCTTTTACATGGGCATGCTAATCGACACTTGCTAATAGGCTGGTCCCCTAACGTTTCGCTTTGAGTATTAATTATAATTTTGATAACTGATTGCTGGAAATTTATGCTTGTTGACATTTTCGACTCCGGAAAACAGAAGTATTGAATTTCCGATCATCGTATTTGGGCTTCGTTTTCTGTAACGATTAATCATTAATGAATAATGATTAATCGTTACAGAAAACAAAGCCCCAATACGACGTGTTGAAACCTATTTTGCTAATATTATTGTTGAGTTTACCGTTACTGATGCAGTTGGCATTGTTCTGGCATGGCTGGTCGAGCACACAGGGATCCTGTAGCTCGCAGTGGACTCCGAAGTAGCCCCCCTTGCACACACAGATGAAGCCATCTTTCACACTCTTGTCGCTTTTGCACACCCCTCTGTCCCCACAAGGCTCAGAGGCGCAATTGTCTCTACAGTGAAATATAACTGATCTTGTTAACTACCCCCTCTTCCAATGAAAAATTACTAAGTGAGGGGAGGGGGTTAGTTGTTATAAAAAACAAAAAGTCGTCCTCCTTTGTAAAATGGGTAAAACGATCTCATATAATTGGTTGAAGCCAAAGCATCAAAGTTTTAAAATTGACCTTTAAAAGTAAGCGTTTGCCCCCCCCCCCCCCCCGGCCCTCGAACTCTTTTGCTCCATGATTTACACCCATTAAATTGTTGTTTTTTTTCTCATGATGCTTTGTTTATTTAAGCTTAGTCATGCTGAGACATTCGCATGAAAGGAAATTTTTCCAAAACTTTCATTTAAAAACCCCTAAAATTACCAAACTGATGTTTTTGTTAGGGATTTAAAAATTGCAATGCCTAAGCTCACTGCTAAAAATATATAAAAAATATATCATGAATAAGTCTTAATTACTTTTCGCTGTAATGATCTGAGCAATCCCTGTGATTATAGATTTTCCCATTATTACTCCTACAGATATATGACCTCATTGTCAATCTTTTTTGATTATTTTGTTCACGAGGGGAAATGGTCAGCATACGAGATAATCTTTTTATAACACCGTACTAATATCCTTTTTTGTACAGAACTTCATAAAATGTTTTGATTAATTCCATTTTAGATTGAAAAAGAATCCTTTTAGGCTAAAAATAAATAAAGTCTCACTTCTAGGTCAAAAAATTATATTATAAAAAAACGGTTGGCCTAAAAACTAAAAATTCTTCAGTGAAAAACAGAGACGATGTTCACCTTATCACCGGTTTACAGGAAGCATTTCACAGCAAAGGTTGCATCTTAGGGATTAACACCGTGTTGGATCAGCATTTTCTTGATGATGATGTGTGTTTGTGTGTTTGTGTGTGTGTGTGTGTGTGTGTGTGTGTGTGTGTGTGTGTGTTTGTGTGGGTGGGTGGGTGGGTGGATGGGGGGAGGTGAGGTGTTGTCAATTTCAAGACTTCAAACAATGTCTTAAATTTTTACTATTTTCCTTGAATTTTTTGAAAGCTTCAGCTATTAGTTAACTTCACTTGAATTTTTAAAAAGTGTTCAGCTGAATATTAGCCTTTCAAGTGGGACAAATATGCCGTTCAATGTGATGATAGATCAACGAGATGAACTTGTCGTGTCGCTCTTACCGGTATTGACAGAATTTTCCATAAGTATTCTCGGCACAAGTGCAAGTGGCTTCCCCATTCAACGCGTTCACGCATTCGGCTCCGTTCTCACATGGATCGTCGGCACATCCGTCCTTCGACTCACAAATGTCCCCCCTGAAGCCTCGCGGGCATTCACACTCGAAACTCCTCCCCCTTGCCCCCGAAGAGGGAGAGGGGGGCACGCATTTGCCCCCGTGAAGACATGGTTTCGGTGAGGTCCTGCAGGGGTCGGTTTTCTCACAGTTTGCACCTGAAGCAATTAACTGTCACGTTTTTTCGGCTATTTCTCATTGTAGAAAACACAATTCAAAAAAATAAAAATTGACCCAAACGTATATTCAAATTCATTAAAACTATATAAACTTATCAAACGTTTTTGTTTCATCATTACTTTTGCAACCCTCATGCTCTAAATTAACCAGAAAAGCCAATATTTTTAAGCAGGTTTGTGTCGAAATTGAGACAGTTTTTCTGGGATTTTTCATTGGAGTTCAATGCACAGTTGAAAGGTCTCTATAATAACGCAACTTCTTTGGGCACTTGATTTCGTGTGAAAAAAATTATACCTGAAACCAAAGTTCCCTTCCCATATATGGTCGGAAGAAACAAAAAGTAATAGCTCAATTTTTTTTCATCCTGTTTGGGAGCTATACTTGTCCTGCAAATACCAGCATTTACACTAGCTTTTGCAATAGCTGCCCGCCGTGACTGGATAAAAAAATCCATTAGGTCTAAGAACTTGGAATTCATCTGAAAAACTTGTGACAGACTTATACCGGCTAGATCAGACAGCTCTGTGCCACTTAAATAAATTAGTCTAAGAAAGTTAAAACGGCAACATTTATGCAAGGAAAATTGTTAAAATACATTCATTCATTCACTTTTACATATTTTTTAGTATCAATTTCCAATCAAGCCCGGATAAAGGATTTTCAAAAATTTTTTGTTGATTCCTTTTTTCTTGGTTGACCAAAATACTTTCCGAGCTCTTCCAAAAAGCTATAAAGATCCTATTTAGAGACAGTTTTTCTGCGCGGTTAGAGAGTTTTTAAATACGCCATTTGAGAGTTTCTAGAAAGTTCTGAACAAAATGTTGTTTTTTGGCGCGTGCTGCCCCCTCAAAGTTAGTATATATTGGCACTGACTCCGTCAAGGAAACTTTAGGGTCGCTCAGCTAAAACGGAAATCGTTCAAAAGTACCAAAGGAGGACCCTTCGGGCGGCTAGGTAGTCGAATACATGAGGCCAGTCCAATATGCTACTGATTACAACGGTATAAGTCAATTCAAATAGCCTTAAAAAGCAATTTCAACCAAAATCAAAGATGACTGGAAAAGGTTTAGCCGGAAAATCTAATCTCATTGTCGTTTTCCAAACATGATAAGAAGGAAAAACTGAAAAAATGCATCTTTCATCGTGATTCGTTTGATGTGCTTCTGATTAAAACCTAAGTTACTTTAAAAGTGCTACTTTGATTGCTTAAGTTTCAGGCAAGTTTAATAAATAAATAATAATTCATGTTTCGGCGATAAGCAGAGGATCTATGAAAATTTATCAGGGGGAAAGGTATCATTATGCATAGTCCGTTCCTATTATTTTCTCACATTCCAGAGTTATTTCGTTGAGCGAAGCTCGTTTTTGCGACTCAAATTTGAATTTTTAATGTAATCAGACGTATTGATAACCTTCGCGTTTGGGAAATCATGGTCCCATTTCCGGCTTGAAGCTGAAAAGAACCGCAAGTAAATCCCTCCCAACTCCTAGGAATTACCAAGTTTGTTTTGTTATGTCGGGAATAATTAATTTGCTGTTATGAAGGTGGGTTCAAGAGACAATATCTTGCCAGAAAACAATTGGTGTTCCCCCTTAGAACGTCCTCCCAGGAACAAAATGATTATGACCAACCACATTTGCTGGGCTGAAACTTGATTTTATTTTTTGGGGGGGGGGGGGGGGGGAGGGAGGTCGTTCGAGTAACGTTGTTTCTTTACGTAACAACTATTGAAAACACGGATTTTTTGCGGTCTACTGTTAGATTGCTAATAGATTACATGGCCTGCTATTAGATTACCAGGAGCATCCCAAAAATCTTGACCAAAATTCATGTGCCAGCCAATTACAAATTAGCAAATTTCACTAAAATCAAGGGCTCTAATATCTTTAGGAGGAATAATTAGTTCACCACTTATTTCGTGTGAATTAGAATTAATATACGCCTATTTTAATACATAGATAAAAAAAAACATCGAAAGAGAAAAAGAAGGTATTTTAGTATCTAGTACTTTTTGATGAAGAGATTAAACTGATTATACCTTAAAACCATCGGTTAGCTGGAAGAAGAAAAGCAAAGGTCACACTAATTGGAAATGAAAAGTATCCGACGGTGGATCAAGTCATCCTTAAATCTTTAATTTCCGCATTGCTATTTTGAGCATCGAACGGCTGAGCAGACATGCTTTTGTATATTCAATTGCAAGATTTTTTGCATCAGGGCAAAAAATTAAGTGTTCCTAGTGTACTTCACGGTGTTGTCTAAAGAAAATTTAGGCTTACAATTTCTAAAAAAAACTTTTTCTCAACCCCCAAACAATGTTTTTTTTTGCAAACATTAAATAGTATGTGAATCAATCAGCGAGGCTCAACTGAATTAAGAACGGTTTCTAGGCTGGATTGTTAACGAGTTAATATAAAACCGAAAATTTTGCGCAAAGTCTGATTAATGTGACAAAAAAAATACAAGTGAAAAATATTTTTAGTTTGAGCTCGAAATATCATTATCTTTCAGATTGTAATAAAATTCACTAGCGGATTAAGGAGAGGGTGGGGGGATCAACGCCCCTTCCCAGGGACTCGACCCAAAAGGCCTCCTTTTTGTAGTACTTTGAGATATACATTTTTGGCTGACTGACCCTAAAATTTTTCTGAAGGCACTGTTGTCGCCAAAAGATACTAATTTGAGGGGGAAGCGCGCGCCGAGAATCCGCGGTTTTTGTCAAAAATGTACAAAAGAGTCTAAAAATGCCTTTTGGACTGTTTTTTCAAAATTTTGCCTGCGGCGCACAAAATTTGGTCAAAATGGGGGGCTTTATAGTGAATGGGTAGAGCTCAGAAAATCAATTTGGTCTAACTTCGAGCTAATAAGATCAGCGTGCAGGCGTGCAATGCTTTTTTAAGCTTAACTTTAGCCGTGAAAGTTTAATTGTTTTTAGTTAAGTTAGTTTTTGGAGTTTTAGCGGCATTTTGGGAATCAAAAATTTTAAAATTAGAAAAATTTTTGAAGTTTGAAATTTTGTATTTTTTTTTTCATTTTTTTTTCGTTCTTTTTTTACGGAAACTTCTTTGCAAATAGCCTGTTTGACTATTTTTGTTGAATATGCCTAGTTTCTATTTTTTGGCTGAAAACTTTTTAAGAAAAACATCAACTTGAAAAACATCAACGTGAAAAACATCAACAAGTATGACTATGCCAATTCAGGAAGTCTGGACCTCAGCTGTTTTGATTTTTAAACCAAATTGTTGAAAAGCCATCACATTTGTAGAAGTCAAATTTTTATATTTTAGAACCCATTTTTTCGTATTTTTTCAACAAAAATATCTCTCTTTAGTTGTGAAAAACTCAAATTTTGGAAGTCTTTGTTTTTGGAATGACGATGCTAAAATTTTATGGTTTTGTTTGCTCTTGTGATTAATAGTATAATCATTACTGTTCTGACTTTCGGTACGAAAGTAACGGAATATTTGTGCTCGGTGTGAGTTTTTTATACTTCTGACAACTTTCGACTTTTTAACCAGCCACATTGACAGAATTTTTTAAATATCCTTCAAAAAGTTTTGTTGTCCTGAGATTAAATTTGAAAAAAAATTTCACCTGTGATCCTTTTTCGTAATGTTATGGGGTTTAAAGATTGTCATTTTGGCCAGTTTGGAACAGTTAACGCTCGATATATTTCGCGCTATTAATGCGTAAGAAGCGGAGGTTTAATTTGTCTTAGAAATCGTTCCCAATTGGTTGAATGAAGCTTATTTGCCATAATTGATTTGTTAATTGGAGCGAAATCAATTCACTGCTTCATAAACGTTAAAAGGAAGTCGGAACAAGCAATTAGTTTTGCTTTGTCCTCTAAAGAGCAAAACTCCAATTACAAGTATAATGCTGGTACATATGATTACCAGCGGATTTAGGGGGGTTCGACCACCTCAGCAATTCGACTCCCTGCCGACCCAAAGGGTCCTGCTTTGTACTGTTTTGAGATATCCAATTTTGGCTGGCTGACCCAAAAGTTTTTTTGAAGGCGCCGTTGGCGCCAAAAGGATTCAATTTTGAGGGGGAAGCGCGCGCCGAGAAACCGCTGTTTTTGGTCAAAAATTTACAAAAGTGTCTAAAAACGCCTTTTTGGTCTGTTTTTTTTTTCAAAAATCTGCCTGCGGCATAGAAAATTTGGTCAAAATGGGGTCTTTAAAGTGACTGGGGAGAGCTCAAAAAATCAATTTCATCGACTTAAAAAACAGAACAAAGTTTAAAAGTTTTCCATTTTTTTGAAAGTCCTCCCCTCCCGCTTAGAGAAAATCCAAGATCCGCCCCAGTTAGAAATTCTACTAAAAACTATTATTTAAAAACTTTAAATTCTTTAAATATTTCGACTACCTAAAATGCTTGAACAAAATAAAAACCCAAAGTAGACTATACTAGCCGTTAGGGCTAAGCTTTAAACATTGTGACAGCACTTAATCAAATAAATAAATTTAAAACTCGTTTCAACACCACAAAAAATGGGGCCGTGAAAAAAACCCCACTTTTTCCCATGATTTAGTTGCCTCTTCCTTGAAACAATTAGTCCAATGAAGTGAAATATGATCGATCATCTTCTATTTCATCTGTTTTGATCGAGTTTTAAAAAGTTACTAACTTCTAGGTTTCAGGAATTTTTGTAATCTCGCCATAGCTTTTCGTTCCGACCATTTTAAAAATGCGGAGGAACTTTGTATTCGGCTGTGTTTTAGTTTTCTTTTTCTTTAAGTTTTCAATGCAAAGTCAGGTATCACAAAAAGTTATCGGATTGGATCAAAATTTCGCACAGTAAACCCTTTCAGTCGTAATTCGAACGCCAATTAAAATATTTGAAAATTTTGTGCCAGTGTCAAAAATAAGCGATTTCAAGAATTTAATTTTCGGTCCGATTTCGAGCTAATAGGATCAGCCTGCAGGCTTGCAATGCTTTTTTTAAGCTTAAGGTTAGCCGTGAAAGTTAAT